AGAATAGATAAAATTACAAAATTTGGTACCTTTATATGTATGTACACCTAAACAAATGCCAAATAACAAAATTTTTAATCAGGGGCGTCCTAAACGGTAAAACATATTTAATTTTTAATTGGTCTAACATAAATTTTTAAACCGATTTTTACTAAAACTCCATAAATTGTATCGGAAAAACATAAAAGACCTTTACTTTTGTGAGGTAATTTGTATTTTTTTATGTTTAATTAGAATCTTTTATTTCAATTTAAAATAAAAACGTGTACTTAGAGATTTTTGCTTTTTAATCCGCCTTCTTTCATTTCATTTTCATGGACCAACAAGAAACCTCCTTGAAAGCACACTTGCTCTAATAAAGTCCAAGTTCTCGGGTTTACACTGAATCATCGTTTGTTTTTAACTTTTTACAATCAGTTATTAGAATTAGAATCAGATTAGATCGTTAAAAGCATTCTCCGCCAGGGATATTTTTTCATCAATATAAACAAAACTTAAGAATAACATAAACTAGCTGTCATTGATGGCTCATATGGCGCGAATTTGATGCAAGTGCTTCAGATTCGTCTATTTTTGGAGCGGTGTATTGACTTTGACTTTTTGTGGCTGGTGTTCGTCTGCGGGCATGTTGATCCTACTTTTGGAAGCGTAATTGAAAGCAACTATGTGAGTAATTAAGTCGCTATTAAAAATCACTCCTTTCTAATTGGAGATTTTTGTTATGCTACGTGGATAATTAGATGCGAAAGGTGGTGCGTTATCGCGAGTTAGGTGCTCTTGACCTTCGTTTTCTCGCTCTGAAAGAGTGTTATTTATTGGTTGGCGGTTTCAAGGCAATGTCTAGACCAAAATTTGCTAATAAATTAAGAGAAAATCACCTCACGATAATTGGTATTTAAAGAAAATTCAAGAAGTTTTATTACTTTGTTACTTTGTTAATCACGAATCGTCGGTTTTTTGAAATCATATTTTTTCAGTTTATTATTGATTACAAGATAAAGCGATGCCAGTTAAAAAAAATATAAAATACAAAAATTTAAAATATGAATAAGTCAGTAAATGGAAAATATGCGTTAAAATTTGCACAAAAATAGCATGCAAGTATAGAAAAACGTAGATTGAAGATATGCACTTAAAGTTATAGAACGCACAGAAGAAAGAGATATTGAAGAAAGAAAGAAATAAAGAAGAAACACCAAAAATCAATAAAAGTGGTCAAAAAAAAAGTTGAATTTTTATTAAAATTTTTGTTTGAAAAAACCGAGTTGAATACTTGAAATAATGAAGTAAAGCATAAATCATCGAAATAATGAAGATATCAAGTTGATCTTTATTAATTTATGTGTAACAGTTATACATAAATAATGCAAAAAAGGGAACACACACGTTCTTGGAGCTAGTAGAGTGTAAACCGGCTTGTTTTACTGTTTTTCTTTCCTTTACAATTATACAAATTTCTAAAATTTGTAACAAACATGTAGTTAAACGTTGAAAAACTATAATTTCGTAACCACCAGACAGGAAGTTATGCGAGATGAACCGGAAGTGCATTTCAATGTCTAGACCAAAATTTGCTAATAAATTAAGAGAAAATCACCTCACGATTTAAAGAAAATTCAAGCAGTTTTATTTGTTAATCACAAATCGTTGTTTTTTTGAAATCATATTTTTTCAGTTTAATATTGATTACAAGATAAAGCGACGCCAGTTTAAAAAAATATAAAAAACAAAAATTAAAATATGAATAAGGCAGTAAATAGAAAACATGCTTTAAAAGAGTGTTAAAATTTGCACAAAAATAGCCAAATATAGAAAAACGTAGATTGAAGATGCACTTAATGCTATAGAACGCAGGACAACAGAAATATTGAGGAAAGGAAGAAATAAAGAAAAAACACCAAAAGTCAATAAAAGTGGTCCAAAAAACATAAAAAAGGTTTGAATTTTGATTAAAATTTTTGTTTGAAAAAATACTTGAAATAATAAAGTAATACATAAATCATCGAAATAATGAAGACATCAAGTTGATCTTTATTAATTTATGTGTAACAGTACATAAATAATGCAAAAAAGGGAACACACACGTTCTTGGAGCTAGTAGAGTGTAAACCGGCTTGTTTTACTGTTTTTTTTCCTTCACAATTTTACAAACTTCTAAAAATTTTTAACAAAAATGTAGTTAAACGTTGAAAAACTATGATTTCGTAACCACCAAACAGGAAATTATGCGAGATGAACCGGAAGTGCATTTCAATGTTAATCTGGCCCACCACCTGTGAATAATTCCGCTGTTTGGCAATAGCTAAATACAGCAGCTACCAAAACACTAGTAATCACGTTTGTTTTGACAGGATATTTCAAAATAAAAACACAAACCTTTAACCATTAATTTAGTCTACAACCACTGGATCAAAGACAGAATTAGCACACATGACTCACAAATAACCAAGAGAGCTAAAAAATCGTTCCTTAAAAGGGCAAACAATTTCATTCATTCAGCTGTAATAACATAATTTTGTCTTTTGTTCGAGTTGTTTCACATGCAACTACTTTGTGTGAAAGTTGTCTGATGATACTAGTAAAGCAGTTGTAGTAATCCGCCCTCGCCATAACACAATGCAAATGTCTTAATTCATACATCAAGAGGCGTAGGTGGGAATTTTTGATTTTTAGATCACGTATGAAAGTGGAAACATAATTATAGACTGTGCCAGATAGATGATGTGGATATTCCGGTCGGGAAAATATTTACTTGTTTAAGCAAAACACTAACTTCACAAATGGAGATTAAGGATGTCATAAATAACGCCGATGGGATGATAGAGGTTTAGACTTACCGCTAAGGAAATAGCGAAAACGTGCACATTTTTTTCGTTTTCGAATATTTATGTTTGTATTTATTTATGTACGTAAAAGTTTATTTTTGCCGGCTTTAGTTTTATTTTCTGTGTATAGTGAAAGATTCTTTTGGATGATCTAGTTGGAAGCTATACCGCCTGCTATTATTAACTCATTGATCATCCTGGCACCGTTACTACATAAAATACAGATTTTATGTTCCATTTAATGCTTTTTAACTCCAAATTTAGTTTTACTTTTCCTTTTTCGTATTTAGCCCAGAAGCTAGTGATTTTTTTTAGTACTAATTGTCACAGTCATCAAAAATTGATACGACTGTTCAGTTAGTAAAGATAATTAAAAAATTAAGAGTATGGCAAAAAAATTCCGTTGGAAAATTAAATGAACTGAACTTATTTCTTTCGTTGTAAATATTTTACAATCTTAATAAACTTGGACTAAAAGCAATTTGCAAAATTTTTAGGACTACCACAATAAAAGCTATTTTTTTTATTTCTTTAATTTTTCACTAACTAAACAATCGAATCTGTTTTCTGATTAGGAAAATTATTTAAAAAAGTATGAAAAGATATTATCATATATCTAGATTTATTATTTTAAACTGTGATATTTTTTATTGTTTGAATGAACCGTTATATAGTGCTTATACCTTTAGCCTTATTCTTAACTTTATTACTCAATAMCTCAAAAACTATGCATCGTAGAGTATTCTAACTAGTTGAGTCGTGTTCAGCGAGTAATTTTACGTCTAGAAAACCATATTTCAACCGTTTTTACGATTTTTAGTAAATTGACTATTTTTACGATTTTACTACCGCTCGCTCACCTTCAAAAACTCAAAAAATTCAAAATTTTTGAAACTAGACCCAATGTCGTTTTATGCGTTTATTTGAGTCCTTAAGACCTCTAGAAATGTAAAAAACGTAAAATAGATCAATTTTAAAGATATTTTTTTTAAATTTTTGTCGAGATTTTGGTCGATTTTTGGCACCCGGAGCGGTCTAATGGCAATAACTCCGGACTTATTAGAGTTAACCTCTTATATTTGGTACCGTTGGATAGAAAATTGAGTTTATCGAATAGTTATCGAGAAAATTTCTGATAAAGTCAAAAATATCGTGAATTTAAATCCGACTATAACTTCAAAACTACTACGAATTTTGCAGTTTGCTTGACGCCAATCGATTCCCCGGAACATTTTACAAAATAAAAAAAAAGTATAAATTTGTCAACACCACCCCCCCCCCCCCCTTAAAAACTAGTGTTAATAATAGAAAAAATAGCGCAGTTGTTGAAAATGATGAAAATGTGTTTTTTTATCTTGTTTACATGTATATTTAATACATTTGCTTCCGCAGTGTTGTCATTCTTTAGAGAAAAACTAAAATGACATCATGCTATAAATTTTAGTATTACATAGTGAATACTTATTATCAAAAAGGTTAATAAATACATATGTATGTAGATGAAGAAATACCAAATTATATTATATTATTATAAATAAAATGTTACGACTTATTTATAGATTTTCAATAACTTGAAAAAATATAATTGGAAAAACTAAATCTTTCATTTCACTACGGTTTGTAACAGAATTCATAATTGTTTTGTTGTGAGGAAAAGACAGGTTGAATGAAATAAATTTTATGTTTGTATTTTTATTTTCAATCTGTTTGAATTTTGTGTTTTTCTTCTTCACATAGTAGTACCTACCTAGCTACAAGTACTTACTCTTTTTTCTTGTATTTTTATCTGATTCCTATAAATTGTGAAAATTACGGTTCATGACAAAGATGGATGGTAATCACCCGACCAGACGGTTTATTTATGGTAATAGATACCAAAGAACAATGGCTAGATTTTCCCGTCTGCAAAACTCAGAAACGACAAGTATTTTAAGTACAAACTTAAGTAACAGCCACCACTAAAATAGAATCAAAATTCTTCAAGTCGGCAGACAATATCCTCTAAATTTCTGTTATGGATCATTAACCTCAACAATTCACTTAATTAATGTGATATTATACCAATCATTTATTCGAATTAAGCGAATTTTCCTTCTCCCAAAAATTCATTCTCTCAAGTGACGCACTAAATTAATTGAAAATGATGACCAATTCTAAAAATGTATTTTGTTTCAGCCGTGAACTTTTATTAAATATGCAATAAACTTGTGAACGAATGAACGAAGTTTAAGGATGACAAAACGACCACCGATGAAAATGAAGATTTGCAGATGTTAGAGAAGAAATCGAAGAGATGAAGCTAATTGCGCTATTATTAACTTTGGCATGTAAGTGGAAATATGCGAAACTATTAATCTTTTTGCATTTTGGGTGGTACAGGAAATGTTCTGGTAATCTTATAATGCTGGAAAGTTGCTGTTGTTGACGTAATTGCTGGAAATAATTCCGCATTTACATTTATTTGAGACAAACATTTCGAGAATGTTGGGGTCATTGTTTGATCGCATTGATTTGTTAAGATGTCAGTTTGGTCAACTTAATTTGTCGTTATTTATATTGTTATTCAATAGTGAATTAAATTAAACATTTTTAAATCAGGTAACAAAGCTAATATGTTTAGGTTTCTTATTCAAAACTAATAAAATTAAAAAAGCCTCTTTTTTATCTTCCACCAATCTATAAACTTAATTAATTCATGTTTTCAAACTTATAAAGTGATTCTAATTGTCTCTCCAGCAACAGCCATTAAACTCTGTTATCTGCTAAAACCTCCTTGACTCCGAATACCTAAATAAACACATAATAAGGTGTCAAATGATTAAGAGCCACTCCATCCAACATTAACACAAGAATAAACCTTTCCCACTAGAGAAATGATTGCAGCAATACCAAATGCAATAAAACAGGAGTTTTGAGTCAGGAGACTCATCCAACATTCAAGGTTGCAATAAATTTTAGAACTCACCTATTGCATTATACACCCACAAACGTATAAAATCAGTCTCGCCGGGAGATTATTATCAAGTTAAACGCTGATTGTTCAATTTTTTTGTTCCACAGTGACAAATGCCCAACAGACAAACAATACCACTAGAAAAATACCGAAGAGGAGCTATGTGTGTCCTCCCCATTTCATGAGACTCAGCCACAGGTGTTACTATTTCAGTAAAGAAGCAGCAACGTGGCAAGATGCCTATTTCCAGTGTAGGGATCTTCACAGTAACCTTGCCATTGTCAGAAATTCAAATCAGGACAAACTTATCAGAAGAACTTTGAGCAAAAAGACTTTAGGTTTGTTTGAACGATTTTTTCAAGTGCTTGGAATATAGTTAATTTACAGAACCTCTGGAAAGGTGGCTTGGTGGTCTCTATGACTGGGAACAAATGACTTGGAAGTGGGGAGCTTCTGGCAAGCCTGTCATCTATCAAGGGTTCTCTCAAATGGAACCTGAAGATAAGGAGAAGTTGCGGTGGCACTGCATCATCGTTGATCCAAAACTCCAATTCAAGTGTGTTTGTAAAAAATGGATTTTTTAATTATAAAAATTGTGATTACAGGTGGAACACTCGGAGTTGTTTGGAACAAAAACACTTTATTTGTCACACTAAAATCAAAATCGTCACTAGTAAAGGTAAAAAGAAGTTGTTGCGACAATACAACGTCAACAAATACAACAAATTGAATGAAATTCCGGTTCCCACCATACCAGAAGATGCTAACTACAACACCACGAGTTTGAAAGCTGTCAACATTAACAATGCGCAGTTTGCTCTTAAGCCCAAGGAGCGGAAACGCAGAACTCGGAAGAACAAGAGGAAAAAAGTGAACTTGGAAGATAGTGGCTACAACAGTACATTGGGTGAAAGAAGACGACGACAAAAGAATAAAGAAGAAGGCGACTTGTCTATGGAGCGGATGAAATGGAAGACGTATTACAAAGATTCGACTTTGAATCCATTGCATCCTAAACCCATTGTTGAAGAGTTCAACTATGTGAAGGAAGCTTAAATTGTGGACTAAACTTAGTGTTAAGTGTGTAAATGTACTTTTGTATTATGGTTTAATATTTTGTATTTATGTACATATTTTTTGCTTCATTTTGTGTTAATTTTGAATGTTTTGGTGCTAGCAGGAGTGGAGTTAGAGTGGCGACTTAGGTCGAACCACTTGAAATAAGTCTAAGTCTGGTCCTGTCTACATTATAAAGTATTACGATTTTCTGTTAAACTATTATTTGTAAAAAAACATTATAATGGATATTTATGATAAATAAAAAATAATCTATATATTTGTGATTAGTTTTAAACTCAATAGCAGTCTAACAAAATTTCAAAATCTTTTATTTTTTTAACAATGAAAACGAGATTGTAGGATCTAAAAGTGTTTTAAAATATTGGAAAGCACAACCACTAACTTTGTGTAGCCAAAAGTTTTCTTTTTTTTTCTGTAGAACAAGAAAATAAATGAAACAAAAGTAATACATAATTTATATTTCATGCAAGAATAAAGTAGAAAAAAGTACATTATAAATGTAATTACATAGGTATGCTATAAAATAATCAAAATATTGTAACTATATTTGGATATAAAGTGTCTTTTCATTCTGGCAGTACAAAACGTTTTAAGTTTATTTCAATCAAAAGTAATATTTTAACATACAACCTTCAAAATTTATTGAACAAAGCAACTCAGAGTAGAAAACACACTGTACTGCCCCTTAAACTAACTAGACACGAATAAAAAATAAATAAATAAGCTTAAACAAATGGCAGTCACTAATGTAAATGTAGTAAAATATCAGAAAGCTTTTTAGAAAAAAAGTTGTATAAGAGATTACTTTAATATCGTTAAAAACCGTGTAAATGCAGTAAAATAAAGCTATCAATGATTTATTACTAACTTATTAAATATTGACAAATACTATTTACATTATCGATTGTTGGGATATGAAATCCGTTGCAGTTTTTCAATTATAAACATACTTGTCAGTGACTTCGTTATTAAAATTTTGCGCTGAAGTTGGCGTGGTAGCTACAAAATTATGTTTTTTACTAGGAAAATCATCTTCTTCAACTTTGATGACCACTGTAGCATTAGGGTCCCACAATTTGTCATACTTCACCACACTTTTTGACTTGGCTTGACAAATATAATGTTTTTCTTCCAGTCGATTCTTCGAATTCCATCTGAAACTTCCAATTCAACCAAAACCAAAAACTTTTTTTGAAAAACTTACAAATTGTTATACTGGGGGTCGATTGTGATACAATGATGGGTATTATTCTTTCCTTCCACCAAAGCTTCTTTGGCAAAATTCTTATATCTGATCACTTTTCCACTCATCGCCCACTTCCATTTTTGCTGCTTCCAATCAAAGATTCCGCCAAGCCAACGTTCATGTTTTTCTGCTAAATTACACAATCATAAAGTGAAATTCCAAGATAAATTAAACTACCAGTGAAATTCCATTTGAGAAATCCTCGTAGAATATTGTCTTGCATCTTGGTTGTGATCACTGCAAGTTTGGTTTTGTTGTCTCTGCAAGCCCAATAAGCGTTACTCCAACTGGCTTTGTCTTTGCTGAAAAAGTAGCATTTTCGGCCCACGAGGATCATGTGAGATGGGCAGACGAATGTAGCCACGTGGTACGGTTTATTTTGTTTCTGGGATATTTTGACTATTTGAAATTACAATCAAATTAATCAAACTATAAATATTTGCTAGGTTCTAGTCGCGAGTAGGTGTAGTGTAATGAACCTTTTCGCGTTTAAATGGTGCCAAGTATAACACATTAATTTCCAAATTTACACCAAAATAAGTGCAATTTTAAATAAAACCACCACTTAACTATTTTAAAACGTTTAATAACGACCTTCAACGTACATTTATGGCTCTTCTACGGATAATTGCCTTGGTACAAAGAACGGTCAAATTTAGATTTATGTTTGTGAGTGCAATTATGTGTTTGAGTTCAGAGAAAGTGGAGGATAAAAATAAAAATTGTAGACTTGTATTAATATTCGTTTGAGTCAGGGTTAGCAAACTTCTAGATTAACTAATTTTTAAATATGTATTAAAAGATGAGCAAAATTTTATTTCCAGAGCACAAAAAATCAAACAAAAGATAGTAAAAAATTCTAATACTTTCTAATTTTTTGGTAAACTTGTTTAGCAATTTTTGGGGTGAGAAAATGAGAACGAAAATCATCGTTTCAGGTCATTGTATGTTTATTCAATAAAATTATCGCTTAAAGAAAATATAGATTTTTTGGTGGTTTACGTATTGTTTTTGTCTTGTTTTTATCTTGGTTATAATTTTTTTACCATAACTTACTTAAAAATGCAGGAGCTGAGGATCCCACTTTAGGTCTCAAACAACCTTGGCTGCTAGTATTATTCGCAGTTGGATTACATTGTCTTCTGATAATATTTCTTTTTCCTGTGACGGCCCTTTGGCAGATGTAACGTTTTTTTTCGACACAACTCCTCGCCGACCATCTAAACCCAATAATTTTCAAAATTTGCAACTATTTTCGGAAAAATCATCACTTACTTATTTTGCCTTGATGGATCTACAATAATACAATGCCATGCCCACTTTTTATCATTAGCATTCATCCTGGAAAATCCATGGAAAAGCAAAGGCTTTCCATTTGCACCCCAGACCCACCTGGACTGTTTCTCGTTGTACCTTCCTCCCAACCACCTTTCAAACCTCCCTGAACCAAAAAATTATTCACATTGAAGATAAAAAATACTGCCACCAAAAACGTACCATCTTTTCGTCGGTTGAGATATCTCCTTACACTTAGTTCTTGTTGGGGTCCCTTAATTGTGGCCAAACTACTGTTGAGGTTTCTACATTTAAAGTGGGCATCGTGCCAAATAGTTTCGTCCTTGCTGAAATAGTAGCATTTTTTTCCGATTGCCACGAATTTTCTGGGGCAGACATAACTAAACTGGCTTTGTGTTTCTGGAATCAAATAACAGGAAAAGTAAATTGGGGCGTGTTGGCGTAGGTTTGGGTACACAAATATTTTGTGAACAAGTTTTCGAGGTTCAAGAAACTCAAATTGCACAGAAAAATAATTACAAATGTTATAGAAATATAGTTGGTAAATAGTATAATAACGTATTTGGATTAAAAATGTCAATAGGTTACGCAAGATGTTTAATCTTGAACTGGAAACCGGAAACAATTTCCAAGTGCCAGTCAAATGTCAGAAGGAGATTAGCGATTGAGTTACAAATTATTCAGGGTTTAATAAAAATTCAATATCAATATGCAAGAAATCATTTAATATTGCGTAACGCTTATTTATCATTATGAAAGTGTTAAAACAAGTGATCCTTTCTTTCATTTATTTCATATTTTCTCTCAAATTTTTTTATTAGCTTGCATTTTTTTTATGTTAGATGATCGCTTAAAAGATTTAAATGTCAAAAATTTAACATTTGTTTGTCTGTTGTGTTAAAAATAGTTTCTTTAATTGAACATGTTTAGGAGATGTATACGTTCAAGTTTACTTAAAATCTTTATGTAGCTGTACTGCAATAATTGCTCTTCATTTCTCATTCATTAAGACAAGTATTTCAAAAATGCTACTTTTTATAGTACATAAACTTCAAGCAAATATGAAGTTTATTAGGTGGAGATAACCAATTCGTATGTAAAGTGAGTTTTACACGTTAAGAATCCCTAGTGTATATAAAAAAAGTCAGAAATGTATCAAAAAAACATTCAATTTAACTCATGTTTAATGCTGTCATCTAGGAGTATTTGTTAAAATAGTTAAAATATGCAAAGTGCAGACAACGTCGAAGGTTTTCGTCAATCACCCTGTATAAATGAGGAGTTTTCAGTAACACAGAAACCATCAAAGTCAATGTGTTTATCCTCATGTAATTTATTTACATAAGTGCTTTATTTAGAAATTAGGTCCGATGACTTTTTATTTGATAAAATAAAAATTGACAAACTTGCAAACAAACTACTGCACATTATTATTACAGTCTTAATTAAAATATTTAAAAATAAAACTGAAGTTTTAAAGCATTTTTAATAAATAGATATTTTTTACTAACCTACTTAAACAGACATTTATAAAGCATAACAAAAACTAATTTCTTATCTTATTTAAATAAAACTAACTTAGTTACAAATGACTTACGAAGTAAGCATCTACTTATGATTTATGAAATACTTGAAAATGTATTTTGTTACACATTGTAATGTGTAGGTTCGTAATCTTTTAATTCTGCAAAATTGCTTGAATTTTTATGTTGGGAATACCCAGACTTACTTTTTGTTTATGAGAAATGATAAATATTTGAATATACCTTAACAAAAAGATTAGAAATTCTAAAGAATTTTAAAGTACCTAATAGCTATATTACAAATAATTATAATGTTTGCAATATGCAATAAGTTACTGCTAAAGATTTATAAACAAAAATCACTTTATTATGTAAATTATACCCATAAGTAGGAAATTAAATTGTTTATTGAGAAAAATAGATGTATGGTAGTACTAGATGCTACTAGATATCTATAAACTGACTGATTTTTATATTTGTTTGTTTTATTCGCATAAAAATAAATAAACAAATAAAAGCATTCGCTAAAATGGAAGTGATGACAGGAAAATAAGCCGAGACCTTGACTGATATTCTGCGAAGTATCTGATTTATAATTTAATTTAAAAAATGAAATAAGGTTTATTTATGTCTGGCTTTATAAAATCACACAGGTATATGCGATAAATCATTCAAAATGTTAAAAATAAATCCTGCAATTACTTACCTGAAAAAATAACAATCAGCAACACCGCGACGCCCAAGACGCTTCTCACACTAAAATTCACCATCCCAACTAAACATTAACATATGTCTGCATAAAACTGCACATTTTAGTAATTGAAAACAGTCAATAGTTCACGGTTACACGCTGATTTCACATCGTAGATTTTTTTTAAGTAGCTTGATACTTTATGGCATGCAGGGTTGTAATCAACAATGTTCCGACGATTGCACGCTTTTATCTGAGAGTAAAGTATAAACTGAACTGCGCTACTTAGTATCATGAAAGCTAAAACGCGGTTCTTGGGCGATGGGGTTATTTTTGTAAATCAATTATAGTCGGACGATCATAACTTTATTGATGAGTTTGTGTTTGGGCCAATATTTTGACCGAGTAATTAATTAAATTGCATCTTTAAAACATCATGAGACAAAACTCAAACTAAAGCATGACTAAACTAGTTAAAAACATTGCAAAAGAAATTATTGTGGGATCAAATTACTATTAAATCTGCAAAATAAATAAATGCTGAAGTTGATTAAAAGAAATAATGTTGAATGCGTGTTATATTTGACCTGAGTTTTGTTTTCAGAGTTCAAATTCAATTTCTTAAAGCAGCTGCATTGTGCCAAAAAGACAATTACCCTCCGAGACGTTTTAACAATGCTTAACAAGCCATTTAATTTTTTTTTCTAAAAATTAGAATGTTATGGAAATCGTTGTCAGTAATATGAGTTGGTCACAGTCTTATATCTTCTACCCAGACAGTTTCCAGAAAATTACATTTAAATGTTAATATGGTGGTTCATGAGACAGTTCCTGTCTTCATTAAAATACTTATAACACATAATTTTAAACTAGTCTAATTGAAATATTTAAGAATGTGGATGGCTTTTAACTAGAGGCGAGAAACCAAGAAACAATTTTGTTCAACTCTATTTTATTTTAAATTAACTCAAAAAAGATTTCGTGTGTAGAATAGAACTTTACTTTCAGACGACAATTTTATTTTATTACTTTTCCACGTAATCGGCGTAAAGACTTGTTTTTTTAAACTATCTGATCTTGCGTAATAAATTTAATTGTGTAATGGATTTTACAACTATCATTAAAATTTATTTATAAAATTTTATAAGGTGCTGATGGATAAACAAACTTAAAAAAATAAACGAATAAGATCCAGTTTTTGCATTATGTATAGTTAAGAATCTAAGCGAAATTGGGTTGTAAAGACAGTTAAAATAATCAATTTTGTCATATGTTAAAAAGTTTGTAATAAATAATAGAAATGAGATTTAATTTTTTTAAAAAGGTGTTAAAAATGGAAGTGGTTAACTTCTATCAAAAGTTTATCAATTTTTATATTAGACGAATTTGGAAAAGAGAAAAAAAAACAAAGGAGGAAGCTTCTTATTTAGGAAATATCTGAAATATCTTCTTTGATTCATTTTAGATGACTTCAGTCAAATAATTTTATTCAGTCATAAATCATGCTCTACACTAAATAAAAAGAAGTTTTAAAGTATATTTTTTAGTATCCTGATTTTTAAAAATAAAATTAGCTAGATATTAACTGTATTGAAATCTTAATTCTGTAAAACTAGTAAACATGCTAAGTGGAAAATCAAAGAGAGCCGCTTTTAACTGATTAATGTAGTTAATATCTGCTTTTAGCTATCGCAATACTCGTAATGTAGAAGCTCCGTAACATTAATTACACCTATTTATTTAAACTTTTCACAACAAACAAAGCTGTATACACAATTAATTTTGTTCTGAAAAATGGCTACATAATAACACACTTCAAGAAGTTGCATTTATTTACTACTACTAGCTTCATCTTGAAACTAATAATTAATCAGGTAATTTATTTGCGGGAATAAGTATGATCAGACAATCCTTAAATCATTTTGTTATTATTTACAATCTGTTGCAAACATTTGTCAACTTGGGTTAGGCTTGTGTGATGTCAAAATTACTAATAGAACAAGAAAAGAAAACCTGCAATTATGCAAATTCATCTGAAACAACTCGAACAATAAAAAACAAGTGATAAATTTTAAAATTTGTTTCTAAAAACTGAAGTGAGTAAAGTGTCGAGTGACACAGCTTCCTCATTCCATTGCCTCTTGAAGACTCCTGATAAGTGTTATCATTAATTATTGGTAAATGTCATAGTGTTGACATTATCACAACTGCACTAATTAATAAACTTGCATTTGATGATAGACGAATTTATGAGAATGTTAACACTAAATGCAGCGGGAGATAAAAATGAGACAATCAGTGTTTGTGACATTAATAAATGTTTTTTCTAGTAATTAATAGTCCCATTTTTTTAATTATTAATTGCACTGTTTATTTAAAAATCAGGCAAAGAATTAATTAATTACAAGCCATGAAATGAGAATATGAAATTAAAAAAGAATTTTAAATTGTAACAGTAATACAGTTTTTTATTTGAAATGTTTTCCAAACGATTATATTTATTTACAAATCTTAGGAATTTTTTCGTATCTTGTGAAA